CTGTTGAGTCGGTTCTGACTCATAGCGACCCCCCCCCCCCCCGGGTTTCTGAGGCAGTAAAACTTTACAGAAGTAGATTGCCCAGTCTTGCTTCTGTAGAATGAATTAAGGACCTTAAATGTACAAATAAAACCATAAAATTTTTGGAAGAAAAATGCAGGGGCAGCACTGTCAGGCTTAAACAAACAAACAAACAAACAAACAAAACCAAACTCACTGCCGTCAAGTCGGATCCGACTCATAGTGACCTCTCCCTGGGTTTCCAAGGCGGTATCACTACAGAAGTAGATTGCCCAATCTTCCTTCTGAGGAGTGGCTGGTGGATTTGAACCACCAGCCTTCTGGTTAGCAGTCAGATGCCTTAAGGGCTACGCCACCAGAGCTCCTGCTGTCAGGCTTAGGTTATCTAATGTAGTAACAAAAACTTAAACAGCAAAAGGCAAAACAGACAACAGGCCTTCATAAAAATTAAAAACTTTTCTTCTTCAAAAGACATTACAAAGAGTAGAAATACAACCTACCAACTGGGAGAATACCTTTGGAAACTGTATATCCAGTTAAGATCCACAGAGGACATTCAGATGGCCATAAAACACATGAAAAGATAATCAATGTCATTAGCCATAAGAGAGCTACAAATCAAAACCACAGTGAAATACGATTTCACTCCCAGTATGATGGCTAAAAGGAGCTCTGGTGACATATCGCCTAAGACATTTAACTGCTAACCAGAAGGTTGGCAATTCAAACCCACCAGCCACTCCAAGGAAGGAAGACTGGACAATCTATTTCCATAAATATTTATCACCTCGGAAACCCAAAGGGCGTTGCTATGTGTCGGAATCGACTTGATGGCAGTGAGTTTGGTTTGGTTTTGAATGATAGTTAAAAAATAAAATAACGAATGTTGGTGAGGATGTGGAAAAATTGGAACCCTGATCCTTTGCTGGTGGGCATGCAAAATAGGACAACCACAGTGAAAACCAGTGAGGTGGGTCCTCAAAACACAAAAAAGGATACAGCCCTGATGCACATCTGTCTTGATTGTAAACCACACAGTATCCTTCTGTTCTGTTCAGATGGCTGTCTCTTGGTCTGTGTACAGGTTCCTCAAGAGTACAATGAAGTGTTCTGGAATTCCCATTCTTCACAGTGTTACCCATAATTTATTATGATCCACACTGTTCAATGCCTTTGCGTAGTCAATAAGACACAGGTAAACATCCTTTGGGTATTCTGTGCTTTCAGCCAAGATCCATCTGACATCAGCAGTGATGTCCCTCAATCCACATCCTCTTCTGTGTTCAGCTGGAATTTCTGTCTGCTTCCTGCTGATGTACTGCTGCAACTATTTTTTGAATTATCTTCAGCAAAAATTTTGCTTGTGTGTGTGACATTAATGATATTATTCAATAATTTCCACATTCCATTGGATCACCTGTCTTTGGAATGGACACAAATATGGATCTCTTTTCAGTCAGTCAGTTGTCCAGGTAGCTGTTACCCAAATTTCTTGACATGGACAAGTCACCGTTACCAGCTCAGCAGCTTTTTGTTGAAACATCTCAGTGAGTATTCTGTCCACACCTGGAGCTTTGTTGTTTTGCCTTCAGTGCAGCTCGGACTTCTTCCTTCAGTATCATCAGTTCTTGATCATACGATACCTTGTGAAATGACTGAATGTCAACCAGTTCTTTTTGGTACGGTGACTCTGTGTATTCTTTCCATCTTCTTTTGATGCTTCCTGCATCATTCAGTATTTTGCCCATAGAACCCTTCAGTATTGCAACTCAATGCTTAAATTTTTCCTTCAGTTTCTTTAGCTCAAAGAATTGCAAGAATGTTCTTCTCTTTCACATGTTTCATTATATACTTTACTTTGCCTTCTTGAGCCACTCTTTGAAACCTCTGTTCAGCTCTTTTATTTCATCTTTACTTCCATTTGATTTAGCTATTCTCCATTCAAGAGCAAGTTTCAGAGTCTCTTCTGACATCCATTTTTATCTCTTTTTCCTTTCTGTCTCTTTAATGACCTTTTGGTTTCTTCATGTACGATGTCCTTGATGTCATCACTCAACTGGTCTTCTGTCATTAGTGTTCAGTGCTTCAAATCTGTTCTTGAGATGGCCTCTAAATTCAGGTGGGGTATACTCAGGGTTGGAACTTTTCTCTGGTGGACTTGTCTTAATTTTTTTCAGGTTCAGCTTGAACTTGCACATGGGCAGTTGATGGTCTGTCTGTTCTACAGTCAGCTCCTGGCCTTGTTCTGGCTGGTATACTGAGCTTCTCCCTCATCTCTTTCCATAGATAGAGGCAATTTAATTCCTGTATATTCCACCCACTGAGGTCTACATTCATAGTCACCATTTAAGGTATTTCCAATGAATGATTTATTGATCCCGCAAAATTTTGTCATGCAATCTCCAGCATCATTTCCCTAACCAGGACCATATTTTCCAACTACTAATCCTTCTTTGTTTGTGACTTTTCCATTTTGTTGTTGTTACGTTCCCTTGAGTGAGCTCTGACTCATAGTGACTGCGGTGTAGTAAATTACTTAGTGTGGCTTTTCTACCCATAAGTCTTTGTAAACTCCAAGGTGGGATTTTCTATGAGCAACTGAGGAGCTCCTGATTGCTGAAGTTGTCCACCTGGGTTATTTCTGTTGGGCGTGGCACAAAACAATGTTCTGGGAGGTGCCCACTCTCTCTCAGGTGCTTAGAGTTCTGATGCTGTGATTGGCTAGTTTGACCACCCTGCCAGGCTCAAAAGCAGGCCTCCTAGAGGCAGAACTCTCTCTGACTGCTGGTTGAGGAAGACATGCTACTGAAAGACACACGTGCCCCGGAAAGAGACACGTGCTGCTGGGAAAGAGACGCAAGAGACACGCATTGCTGAGTGAGACACCGAGGGACCAGCACTGCTGGGAAAGAGACTGTGAGAGACTGTTGGCTGAGGGACGGTGAGCTGGGAGAGAGACTGAGCATTTTTCCTGAGCTCGAATTGTAGCCTGTGGTGCTTCCCTAATAAACCTCATAATCTGTGAGCTCTGTGTGGCCACTGCAGCGAATTATCGAACCCAGGAGAGAGGTGGTGGGTGCTTTGGGAGGAACAGTTGGTGAAAGGGCTGGAGGAAGGCAGCATGTCTGGCCTGGCAGGAATAGGCCTTGGGTTACTACTGGTAATCCTGTCTTCCTCTTGCAGGGTTAGAGGAGGTCAGAAGATGTGGCCTCCTTGCCATTTTTGCAGTGACCCTATGTACAACAGAACAGTACTTTGCCCGGTCCTGCCAGGAAAAGTTGTATATGTGTAAAAAGTTAAATTGGCAAAAATTGTGATGGACATTTTTACAACTATGATGACAAAAAAAAAAGGTAGCTGGGGAGGCTGCATATCTACATCAAACACCTGATGGAATGTGATTCCTTGGTTTGGATGTTTAAGGTCACAGTTTCATGGGACATCCCAATTCAGTGGCCAATAAACGTGTTCTGTGCTTCTCTTCCACCTTCTTGTTCATTGAGTACTGCCTAGGGTCTTAAAGGTTGCAGGTGGCCATCCAGCAAACAACAGTCGGTCTCTATTTGCCTGGAGCAGCTAGAGAGAAAGAAGGGAAGTTAGGAGGAGGAAGAGGAAGAGGATATGCATTGTATGGGGAACTGCCTCCTTGGACAAGTGCCTCTTTTTCTATGAGGCCAGGAGAGTTGATGGTACCCAGATACTATTACTGAAAATTTTGATCAAAAATTCCATAGAAGAATCCTGATCAAAAGGGGTAAAATGCAGAGCAAAATTTCAAATTCTCATGGAATCTGGACTTTCTGGAGTTATGGAGGCTAGATGAACACCTGAATTTATTGCCCTGAGATAATCTTTAAGCCTTGAACCCAAAATATCCCCTGAAGTCTTCTTAAAACTACAGTTTAGCGTAACTGTAAAGAATGCTGGCTTTGAGCCTTACACTCTTTTAAGATCTATCTGTATGGGATCAAACTGACCAGAGCAACTTGAAATATTAGATAGGAACATTGGGGTACAGTGAGTTTATGTGACTAGGGAAGGAACGGCTCAGAAAAGGACGGTGAGAATGGTGGCTGCACAGCTTTAGGGATATAATCAGTATCACTGAATTGTACATTTAGAAACTGTTGAATTGATATAGGTTTTGCTGTTTATATTTTCTTTAACAGTAATAAAGTACTTAAGAGTCACTCTGGAGCTTGTTAAAGATATAGATCCCTTAATGTCCTGACCCTCAAGCTTTTAATTTAGTAAAAACTGGACTAATCTGCATATACAGTCATCCGAGTGACCACACTTGGTAAAAAATGGCCACGGTGAGCCTCAAATTAATGTGCGTTCAGATCACGCTGGGACCTTGTTACAATGCAGTTGCAAGTTCAGTAGGTCTGGGCTAGGACCTGTAGTAGCATTTCTAGCAAGCTCCTCCCAGGTGATGCTTTAGAAACTCTAATTTTGTTGCTCTGTCTGCTACAGGAGGAGCTTTGGTGGTGTAGTGGTTAAAGCATCCAGCTGCTAACCAGAAGGTCAGAGGTTTGAACCTGCCAGCTACACCGTGGGAGACTGATGAGGCAGTCTGCTTCCATAAGGATTTACAGCCTTGAAAACCTTGTGGGGCAATTCTGCTCTGTCCTGTAGGGTCTCTCTGTGAGGTGGAACTAACCCTCTGGCAGTGGTCTCTGGTGTCTACCGTAGGGGTCCTTGCATTTCCTTCTACGATGGACTTGCTGCCTTTCTGACTGGCCTGCATACTGGCTTGGCCTAGGTCGGCACTTCCCCTGTGAAACTGGTGTTTGATGCCTTTTCATAGTGCTTGTCCTTGTTGCTTATCTTGTCCTTTTTATTCTTTCTTTCTTCTGATGTATGTAGATGAGCAGCTGCATCTTGAAGTTCCATCAGCTTTAACCGAAGTTCCAGATTCCAAGACAGCAGACAGTATCCCCAAGACAACCAAGCACCCCCACTCCCAAGGACTGAGGACCATGGAGCTCTCTGACAGTGACCGTCCCATCAGCTTCGGCTCCACGTCTTCCTCAGCCTCTTCCCGGGATAGCCACGGTTCCTTTGGCAGCAGGATGACCTTGGTTTCAAACAGCCACCTGGGCTTATTTCACCAGGACAAGGAGGCGGGGGCCATCAAACTGGATCTGGTTCCAGCCAGGCCGTTTTCCAGCAGCGAGCTGCAGAGGGCTGACCCAGCCAAACAGCAGGGCACAGAGGGGAGCGGAGAGAGGCAGCCTCGGGCACAGCACAGACTGGAAGCCAATGGAGCCGCCAAAGCCAGGGCAGAATCCACCTCAAGCCCCAAGCTCCTCTATGTGGACCGAGTGGTGCAGGAAATTCTGGAGACAGAAAGGACGTACGTGCAGGATTTAAAAAGCATTGTAGAGGTAAGGCCAACTTTGTTTCTAAAGTTCGTCACACAGGATAAAAATGCTTGCAGAATAAACAAAGGGCAAAGCCAGGTGTTGGAGGTGTTTGGTACCCTGAGATGCAGAAGGAGCGTTGATGTTTAAAGAGATCATAACTTAGGAGAAAGCCTGGGGCCACCCTCACTGCATTGTTGTTGGTTGCCATGGAGTCGACTCCAGCCTGTGGTGACATCCCTACGGAGAGGGAGGTGGTGCCTAGTCCTGCGCCATCTTCATCATCAGTGGTCTGTTGGAATCCATTGCTGTGGCTGTTGTCACTCCATCTCAGTGACGGTTTTCCCGTTTGTGCTCATCTTTCACTTTCCCAACCATGGTGTCCTTCCTAGCGATTGATCTTTCCTGATGGCATGTCCTAACTCAGCAAGCCATCCTCACTTCTAAAGAGCATTCTGGTTGTATTTTTTCTAAGACTGATCTGCCCGTTCTTCTGGAAGTCCATGGTCTATTCAGTATTTGCACTAACCAAGTGATTATATATTTAGAAGCATGATGATAAAAACAGCTCTTGTGAATAAGTCCTGGCTCACGGTGACCCTGTGGGTGTCAGGGTAGACCTGGGTTCGTAGGGTTTCCAGTGGCGGATTGTTCCTATGTATATCACAAGGCCTTTCTTCCAGGTGCCTCTGGGTGACCTTGAACCTCCAGCCTTTCAGTCAGCAGTTGAGCACATTAACATTAACCTTTTGCACCACCCAGGGACTCCAAGAATGGTGGTACCCATGCTCACAGTGGTACTTTCTGTTAATAATCTTTCTGCGGAGGAGCTCAGAGTGCTCAGGGATGGTGCAGACAGAGGATGGAGAAGGTCATGAAGACTCTTGACTTAACAGGTGTCAGGTGTGTCCTGACGGAACCCGTTAGGCTAGCCTCACCCTAATCACAGCTGTGCTGGGGTCAGTTCACTGAAACCCCCAGAGGCTGAGTCCGTTGGTCTAGGATGCAGTGTTGGAATTTTCAAAGGGTCCCAGGTGCAGCTAAGCCTGGGAATCTCAGTTCTGTGCCATTTTCTGTACTGGTTGGTGCTTGGTGGGAGAGAAGTGAAGGGTAGGGGAAGCAACGGTGGCTTTCATCTTTCCTTGGGCATTTCCTTTATGGTTACTTTTATAATAAACTGCTTTGCATATTTAATTCCATGTGACTTGAGCTCAGCTTATGTGCCAGACTCAGTGGCTCTGGAAACTCAATGATTAATTTGACCCTGATTTGTAAGTATGTTGTTAAGGGTAAATGAGGAATTACCAGGGAAGCCTAGAGATTAGCTCATTCTTAATATATGATTAAAAATATAATACTTCAAGGCCAATTTACATATTCTAAAGCTAGACTAGCTTTGCTGCTCCATAGCATAATGCCAGATTCCTTCCTGTGTTAGTACCTATTTGTCATTTTGACTTTTAATCAAAAACGTGTTTCGGGATGCAATAGGGTGTTTGCTGATGAGCCCATTCTCCGCTAAATACTTGCATTCTTGGAGCTTTAGGAAAAAAACTTCTAAGGGTTACTGTGTGTTCTGCAAATGCTGGAAGCAGGCATGGTATACTAAAAATAGTTATGACGTAGCCTCCCAGTAAAAATAGAAAAGGCAATTGATGCTCAAGCAAAACAATATGTGGTACCAAATGTAGAACACACCAGCCAATTTATTACTGTTTTTTTTTATTTCAACAATGATGTCATTTGTACTTGAGAAGAAATACCTGTGAACCTGCCAAAAATTTTACGGCCTCTCAGGAAACTTCTGGTTGCCAGAGCTTTCTTCAGTGTGTGCTTGCTCGTTTCATGGAGCTTCCCCACCTATCAGAACGCCCCACGCTGAAAGAGAAGCCGTTAGTCACTGGACTCCTGTTCCACACACGGTTTCTTCCTCAGGCTCTCTGATTCCCAGTGAAGAAGAGATAAAGCAAGATAGTAATGAAAGAAAGCACAGAAAGAATCTTTTTTTCTACAAACAATTTCAACTTGCTCCAGGTTGTCCAGTTGTGTTTATCCGTGAGTTAAATACATAAGCTTGCCAGTTGTGGCAGCTTACAGCCAGCCATGTTCAACACTAGGGGTTGGTTAATTTTTCTTAAAGGACCAGATACCACTAAATGTGTTACGCTTTCTGGGCCCTCAGGTCTCTGTCATAACTCAGCTCAGACATCATACCTTAAAAGCAGCCCCGGCAATAAGTTCATAAGCAAGTAGGGGTGGCTACGTGCCAGTATAACTTCAGGGCCACAGTCTGCTGACCCCTGTTTGAAGATCATGAGATTGTGTGTCAATTTCATCAACTGAAAAATAGAACTAATAAGAGAGCACCTGCCTCATAGAATGATTGCAAGAATTAAATAATACATCCAAAGGAGTGCCTGTTAACGCATTCAGCTGCTAACCGAAAGGTGGGCCGTTCAGGTCCACCCAGAGGTGCCTTGGAAGAAAGGACTGGCATTCATTGTCCAAAAATTTAGCCACTGAAAACCCTGGGGAGCGCAGTTCTACTCTGACACATGGGGTCACCGTGAGTCGGAGTCGACTCTAGGGCAACTGGCAATACAGGAAAACTCCTACAGCAGGGCCTGGCATAAATGAGCATTCTAGTGGTCACCCTCACCAGCCTCCTCTGGATTGGCTGGTTTAGAGTGGTCACCGTTTATAACTACCCTGTGTTTTATGTAAGGTCTTCTATGAGAATAAGATGATTGATTATTCAGTTCCCTACAGCAAAAAATTTAATTTGGAAAAGGAAATTCCAACCCTGTGACTTCACATTATGATTTTGAATGGGATCATTCCCAGTGAACACACTGATCATCGGAGGTAGGTCATAATTAGGGAGAGAAAAGGTGGAGAAGAGTCATGCTAGCGCAGAGGGTCATGGGAAAGAAAGTCCCGGTGGTAGAAGGAGGCACCAGGTAGGAAGGCGCGGTGCACCTTGGCCCCAGGAGTCACTCCGATTCTTTGAGTCATTTGCTCTCTCCACTTAGACACAGTCAGGACCTCTTCAGATCAGGATTTAGTCTCCCCCATATCCTTTGACTAGAAGACCACCTCTGTATCCCAGGATCACAACTGCTTAACAGAAGGTAGAGCCCCTTTTATCTAGTTCTTTCCTTTGTAGAATAACCTGTTATTTTCCTGTCTGTAGCAACTCTGTGACTAATGGCTGCTATAATGGGTATTCTTTTAAAACACAGTCTCAATTTTTTTAAAACTCTGTTTAATCTGTTTCCTAATCTGTGTTAATAATTTTCAGGTTGGCTTCTCTAATATTCTTGATTTTTCAACTGCAGCGTTTTAAACTGAAGAAAGGACTACTCACTCACAATTTTCTATTTTAAGCAGTTGTTGTTGTTGTTGTTAATGTGCCGTCAAGTCAGACCCGACTCATAGCGACCCCTCCTTGGGTTTCCAAGGCAGTATCACTACAGAAGTAGATTGCCCAGCCTTCCTTCTGAGGAGTGGCTGGTGGGTTTAAACCGCCAGCTTTCTGGTTAGCAGTCAAGTGCCTGCAGTTAGCACACCCAAAAGGCATGTCTCCTGTGATGTGAGTTAGCTCTTTCTGGGCAGGAATTACTTCTGAATAACGAGCCTAGTAATTTATATAGGTAAGTGGTAAGTCACACACCTGTGCGGGAGCACAGTTTGTGACTTTATGCACTGTTTCATTGAATCCCAGGTAACTAATATCCATCTGCAGTCACCCTCAGCTTATTTCATTTCCCCGTCAGTGGTCCATTGTATCCATGTGCCACACAGACATAGAGTTTTCATAGCTCAGGCTTAGATTTTATCTCAGGATTTGTAGACAGCAGTATTTGTGAAAGATCACTGATGTCTAATTCAGTTATCAGACATTGACACAGTGGTGATTGGCATGTTTGACAGAGTCCATGTATCATCAGAGTAGCATTTTTCTAAGAAGAGATCCTTCTAAGCTGTCTGTTTGGGCAGTGGGATTCCCAGATGTTGGTTACACTAGCAAAGCAAGTTCTATGCTTTCCATTCCCATATAGAGAGAAATTTTATTAAAATTATCCTAACTGTGTAGTCTTTTTCCCTTCTCTACACCATTTTTCTCAGTTAGAAATGAATCCCTAATGCTTTCTGAAATTTTAACTAAAAGGTTGCGTCAGTGTTTCTCTTACTCTTTGTTCTTGTGTTCCTCCTCAGACCCTTCTCTCGGTTCTGTCACCCCCATGATGACTGCTCCGACCTCTGCTCCTTTGCCCAGCATCCTAGGCATTCACTTTTATACATTGGAAGCAGAGGGAGATGAGGTCGTCACTGTCACCCTTACTCAGAGGAACAACAAGGCTGTTACTGCCACTTCTGTATACGGCTGCTGTTTCGTTTGTTTCTGTATATGTGCTGCTCTAACAGAAAATTCCACAAACGGGACGCTTGAGCAAATAGGAGTTTATTCTCTCACAGTTTGGAAGCTTTAAGTCTGAGTTCAAAGTGCCAGGCTCTAGGGGCTGGGTGAAAGCCCCTCAACCTTGGGCTTCAGCTCTACCTCCTGCTCCTGGCCCACTGAAGCTGGAGGCTTTTCTTCACTCAAACAGCTGCTGGCTGCTGAGGCTGACAAACCCAAGGTCGACAAGTGAAAAACACAGTCCCAATGTCACCAGACAACACAGCAGGCCATTAATTCATGTCCATTGAAAGTCCCAAGGTTCACAGATCATGGCAGGCTGCTGAACAATAATGTGGCTGCATTCACGGTTCAAGCTGCCATAAGCTAGAGACTGTTCCCCAAGGCTTCTCCTTATATACAGGAAGCAGACCACATTCCCTAAGGCAGCTACTCAGTTGCTCACAGTAGATTCCACCATGGAGTTGATTACTAGTCTCATCATGGGGAATACTACATCCAGCTGCCCAGCCACTCAACCAGGCCCAGCCAAGTTGACACACAAACTCAACTACCACATCTGCTAAGAATGTTCACAGGTAAAATGACATAATAAATGTGAAAG